TGTGCCATTATACTCACCATGTATTGTACTCGGAAGGAACACAACAAAATTATGGCACCGTTACCGATGACTGATTTCAGCCCCTATAATTGCTTGTTCTTTAAACCCTATCTATTTTCATTTTCAATTTAGATTTCTAAATTTCTTTTTTTTTTCTTTCTAGTTCTTAGGTAGTATATGTCCGATAAACTTGCTAAGATAGGCCAAAGACTTGAACGTATAAAGAGCAACACTTTTGAGAACTTTCTATAAGTAAGTGTAGGTGCTTATTCTGAGCACTTCAATTCTGAGCAAGAAGAAGAGATGGAAGACAATACAATGACAATCGAGCTTTGGAGGATTATGCTTAACCGATTATACCAAATTCACCTTCGTGCATCTTGTTGCTTGTTGAAGCTAGAAACTATGATCTCAAATCTTCACATTTTGATATGCTTCCTTCTTTTTTATGGTTTACCTAATGAAGATTAGCTCATATTAAGGAATTCTATAATGTTGTGAGTGGTTTACCTTTGCAAGGAGTGAGTGAAGCAAATCTGAGAATGAGAGGTTTTCTCTGCACACTGAAAGATAAAGCTAAGGGTTAGTGACTTTAGCACCTGGTTCGCTTATTACTTGGGATGTCGTAGCTAAGAAATTTTGGGAGAAATTTTTCTCTACCCAACATGATGGAGAACCTTTCAATGAATGTTGGGAGCGTTTTAAAGCGCTTTTACTGCAATGTCCACATCATGGGTTACCTTTTTACTTACAAATGCCAATTTTTTATGATGGATTAACCCAAACATGTCAATCTATTGTTGACAATGCAGCAAGTGGAGATTTGAAGAAAAAGAATGCTCAAGAGTCATATAACATCTATGAGATGTTGGGATCTAATGGTCAAACGAGCTGGAGTGCATGAAATGAGCTCTAATAATGATCTTGCATTGCAAGTGGCTGGTTTTGAAAAAAAAAAGCTTGATTTCATGCTCAAATATGGTGCCCAAGATAGCTGAGGTGTGTGCCATTTGCAACATACCAGGTCATCCTACTTATCAATGTTCAGGTAGTGAGGCTTATCCCGAATTCGTCCAAGAGGAAGTGAATCTCATGAACTCTTACAATCAGAGGCCACGAAATAACCTTTTCTCTAATACATATAACCCTGGTTGGAGAGATCATCCCAATCTCTCATGGAAAAATAACAATCAGTTTCAAAATTTCCAACCAAAGCATGCTACTACACTTGAAGATATGGTCAAATTGCTAGCCCGAAACACCATTCAATTCCAGCAAACTACCAATAGTACTCTCCGACAACATTCAACTGCTCTAATCAAAATGGAGACACAATTAGGTCAGATTGCCGATGCTTTGAGTCAAAGAGAGCTTGGGAAGTTTCCTACCCAATCAGTGATACTTCAAAGGAACCAAGACCTAGCCAAAGCAATCACTACACTTAGAAGTGGTAAGGTTATTATCATGGAGTTGGAAGTGAAGTTAGTAATGAATCTGATCATGTGAATATAGGTGCAACTCAAGAAGAGAATGAGAAACCAAATGATGAACCAAGCAATGTCACTTCTTCATTTGAAGCACCAAATCTCCACAAGGCTGAAAAACCTTACACTCCTCCCTGGAAGACTTGCCAAAAGCAAGCAAGATAAGTCATTTAAAGAAATGTTTGATATTTGAAGTAAAGTGAATGTTAATTTACCTTTGCTTGATGTCATTAAGAATATGCCAGCATATAATTTTTTTACAAAGAGCTAAACAACTATAAGAGGAAGTATGGATCTAATGAGAAAGTGATGATGTCTGAGAATGTTAGAGTTGTCCTCCAAAGAAAGCTTCCACCAAAACTCAAAGATCCAGGAAGTTTTTCTATCAATGTCACTATTGGAGACAAGTTAGTTGACAAGGCTATGCTCGATTTGGGTGCTAGCATCAATCTAATGCCTTATTTAGTGTACCTTCAACTAGGTTTGGGGAATTTGAAGGCAACAACCATTTCATCGCAACTTGCTGATCGATCAGTGAAATATCAAAGAGGTATAGTTAAGGATATCTTAGTTCAAGTTGACAAACTAATTTTGCCTAGTGATTTTATAGTTTTAGACATGGAAAAAGCTTCTATACATGATCATGAGTTACCAATTTTTCTTGAGAGACCTTTTATGGCCACTGCAAAGACTATCATAGACGTGCAAAATGATCTTCTCACCATGACCGTGCTAGGAAAAACTGTACAATTCAAAGTGTTTGAATCTCTTTTTCACCCTTCTAGTTCACTTGATTGTTGTTCAATTGATGTGTTTGATTCACTTGTTTTCTCTAAGTTTTTACAGACACTATCTAATGATTCGTTATAATTTGTTTTGTGTCAATATGAAGATGATTTTGATGAAGAATCTGCACTCATGGAAGTGGTGGCTGCCTTGGAAGCATTAAACCATATCCCTTCACTATTTCACCTCTTATAGAGTCATTGCAACCATTTGCCACATATCTGATCCCTTCCATTATTAAACCTCCAAAACTTGAACTTAAACCAGCTCCACCACATTTAAAATATGCTTACCTCACTGAATTTGAAACTCTCCTAGTTATCATAGCATCTGACCTCAATCCATTGGAAGAATATAAGCTAATTAAGGTGTTAAATGAGTTTAAATCAGCCATTGGTTGGTTCATTGTAGATATCAATGGAATAAGCCCTACCATGTGCATGCATCAGATTTTATTGGAGGAGGGAGCGAAACCAACCCATGAACCACAATGAAGACTCAATCCATACTTGAAAGAAGTAATGAGAGCTGAAGTGTTGAAGTTGCAAGACGTAGGTATCATATACCCAATTTTAGATAGCAAATAGGTAAGCGTTGTTCAAGTAGTGCCTAAGAAGATTGGAATCACAGTGGTAAAAAATGAGAACAAAGAGCTTGTACAAACAAGACCTACAGCTAGTTGGTGTGTTTGCACCGATTACAGGAAGTTGAATTCGCACACTAGAAAAGATTATTTTCCTATGCCTTTTATTGATCAAATGCTTAAGTGATTAGCTGGTTACTCACATTATTGTTTTCTTGATGGATATTCAAGTTATAATCAAATTGCAATAACTCTAGAAGATCAAGAGAAGACCACATTCACCTGTCCATTTGGCACTTTTGCATATAGAAGGATGCCTTTTGGCCTTTACAATGCCCCAACAACTTTCCAAAGATGTATGTTAGCGATCTTTTCAGATATGGTTTAGAGATTTATTGAGGTATTTATGGATGAATTTTCAATTTTTGGTTCTTCTTTCGATGATTGCCTTAACGACCTCTCTTTAGTGCTTCAAAGCTATCAGGAAACAAATTTGATTCTGAATTGGGAAACGTGTTAATTTATGGTGAAACAAGGTGTTGTCTTGGGCCATGTAATATCCAACAAGGGAATTGAAGTTGACAAAGCAAAAATTAACATCATCTCAAATATGGCAACCCCTACTTTAATGAAGGGAGTCAAAAGCTTTCTAGGACATGCTTGTCTTTATAGTCGTTTCATTAGAGATTTTTCCAAGATCACTCGTCCATTGTGCAATCTTTTTGGCTAAAGATGTTGTATTTGACTTTGATAAAGCTTGTATGAATGCATTTAATACCTTGAAATGTGAACTAACCTTTGCTCCTATTATTATGGCACTAGATAGGTCTTTACCTATTGAAATAATGTGTGATGCCTCTGACTACGCTATTAGTGCTGTTTTAGGTCAAAGAGTGAATAAACTCCCACATGTGATCTACTATGCAAGTCGGACATTAAATGATACTCAACTCAATTACTCTACCATCGAAAAATAGTTGCTTACTGTTGTTTTTGCTTTAGAGAAATTTGATTCATATCTTGTTGGCTCTAAAGTGATTGGTTACTCTGATCATGCAGCTCTTAGGTACTTGTTGACAAAGAAGGATGCCAAACCACACTTGATTAGATGGATACTCTTGTTACAAGAGTTTGACCTAGAAATTTGAGACAAGAAGGGGAGTGAAAATGTTGTTGTTGATCACTTGTCACACCTCGTTGATGAAAACCATGGAGATGGACAAATTTTACCTCTCAACGAATCATTCCCGGATGAACAGCTCTTTTTCATTCAAGAAAAAGAGCCATGGTATGCTAATTTTGTTATTTATCTTGCTTGTGGTGTAATTAGAGATGATTTCACTTTTCAGGAGAAAAAAGAAGTTCCTTTCAATGGTGAAACACAATGTTTGGGAAGAGCCATATTTGTTCAAGTATTGCCCTGACCAAATCATCCGAAGATGTGTTCCGGAGAGTGAGCAGCAAAGCATACTAAGATTCAGTCATAAGTTGGTGTGTGGAGGTCATTTCAGTGCCAAAAAGATAGCTTTAAAAAATTTTACAATCTGGTTCTTTTTGGCCTACATTGTTTAAAGATTCTTTTAATTTTTTCTCTAAGTGTGATAGGTGTCAGAAAATGGGAAATATTAGCTACAAGAATGAAATGCCATTGAACAACATTTTAGTGGTAGAGTAATTTGACGTGTAGGGAATTGACTTCATGGGTCCCTTTCAGTCTTCTTTTGGATACTTATACATACTAGTGGCAGTAGATTATGTATCCAAATGGGTTGAAGCAGCAGCTACGCAAACTAATGATCACAAGGTTGTTTTGAATTTTCTCATGTGATTTTCACTAGATTTGGAATTCCGAGAGCTATCATTAGCGATGGTGGCAGCCAGTTCTACAACAAGCCTTTCGAGGCACTGATGAAGAAGTACAACATCACACACATAAAGTGGCAACTCCATACCATCCTCAAACCTTTGGCCAAGTGGAAATCAGCAATAGGGAAATAAAGAATATATTGATGAAGACTGTCAGTTTTATGTGGAATGATTGGTCACTAAGGTTGAATGATGCACTTTGGGCTTATCAAACGTCGTACATGACCCCAATTGGAATAAGCCCTTATCAACTTGTGTTTGGAAAAGCATGTCATTTGCAGATGGAGCTCAAGCACCATGCATATTGGGCCATAAAGAAGTTTGATTTTGATCTCAAAGAAGCTGGTACAGTGAGGAAGCTCCAACTTAATGAGTTGAACGAGCTCATAAATGAATCATATGAGAATGCTAAGATCTACAAAGAACGAACCAAGCTCTACCATGACAAAGCTATTCTTAGGAAAGAGTTTCAACCAGGTATGAAAGTACTTTTGTATGACTCACATTTGCGACTTTTTCCAGGTAAATTGAAGTCTACATGGGTTGGACCTTTCAAAGTGATTCAAGTATTTCCGAATGGAGCTGTGAAGATAGAAAGCATCAAGAATGGCACTCGTTTTAAGGTCAATGGGTAGCGTTTGAAGGCTTATTTGGAGAATGTGGCACAAGCGCATGCCTATCTACTTGTGGATTCTCTCGAGTTTACAACTTAAACATGTTGTCATGTCTTGCCTAGACATTAAATAAAGTGCTTGCTAGGAGGCAACCTAGCTGGGTTTGTGTTCTTTCCTTTTATTTGTGTTTCTTTTTTTTTTTTTTTTCATTCCATGTGCCCTTTACCTATTCGCATTGCATGCATTCCATTAATTTTTAAGCATTAAGGACAATGCTTAGTTTATGTTTGGGGGTGTTGGAAATTGAAAATTTTCTTTTGATATCAGTTTTGGTTAAAGTTTGCTTTTGCTTACTAATCTGAATGTATATGATGGCTGTGTATACAATATGACTATGGTGTTGTCATGAAAAGTTCCATATCATAATTTTTGTGGTTCACAAAGTTATTACTCTTGAATTATGGTGATTAAAGTGTCATGCTCAAATTATGGAAGAAGAATAATGGAGACTACCCTAGTGAGTTATTTTGAGCCTATTTGCATCTTTGAGAGGGTTTAAAGTGTTTCTACTCCTATCTTATTCTTTCAAATTCACTTTAAATGATCTCATTATTTCTTGTTGATTGAATGCTAAGAATAATTTGAAGGGAAAATTATGAGTTTAACACATGGGATTTCTAAATGACTAGCATGCATATACAATTCAAAATTTATATACATGAGCAACGGAAGCAATTTATCAAATAATATCAAAGCTATAGTCATGCAAATCCCCTTCAAGGTTCATAGGTTTATATATAATGCATCTAAAACATTTAAGTTAAGAATAAAGTGAAGGTATAGATCTATACCTCTTGATCTTGATTTTAGACCAAGGATGGACCACCTCCAAGTCCTTTGCTCCTTGAAGTCCTTGAGCCTAGCCTCCCTCCTTGCCTCCTCCACTTTGTTAGTAAGAGTGCTCCAAGGTTCTCCTTTAGTCTCCAAAGGAGAAGACCTCTAAATATCCACACCCACTAGTGTAGTGAGATGGATGGAGGAATAACCAAAAGGGTGAAAGATTGTTAGCTAATTCACCCTCTAGGTGGCCGGCCCTTGTGGTTTTAGAGAGATGTTTTCTTTAGCCTCTTTTTTGTTTTAAAACACACAAAAACCCTAAGGATTAAAACTCTATAAAGTTCCTTATATAGACAAAAAGAAACCTAGTCAACAACTTGACTAAATATCTCTCCCTCTCCACTTGCAAGGGCCGGCCCCTTTGTGTTGGTTTGGGCTTTGGGCTTTTATTTATTTCTAGTCATCCAATGCTTGAATAAAAGCCCAATGGGTTTAGGCCCAATGGGCCCAATTTAACCCGAACGTTTCTTTAAGCCCAAAACGATTCTTTAAGCCCAGTGAGGTGATTGACATCAATCCAGTTGATTATATTTAATCCAATCACTTAGTGAATTAAAAACTTCCTTTTAATTCACCTTTCTTCTTTGATGACTACATTTAATCATCTAGAAGAACTCACAAGCTATGAGTGACATCTAACCATATGTCATAGCTACCCAAGCTAATGTAGAAGTTGTTCGGAGAATCTATTCAGTTGGAATTACAATGTAATTTGATCCTTCTCTAAAACAATACTCTCAATCACATTACTAGGATATGGATATATTATGTCAAACCCCTAATGTGATTATTCCTTCTTATATGATTCATTTGAGTCGTATAGGAACGCTTTCCTTTATTACGCTCGATACTTCGGCCGAAGATTCCCGAATCATATCTTAGAGTATTCTTCCTCTCTAATCGAGGATTAGAGATTCCTTGTTGCGCATTCACTTGCCTTCATGACTAAGTGGCTTAACCCCAATTATGCCATGGACATCCGCGAATGGGGTGACTTTGACATAATCAAAGATTAAGTACTTAGCCACAAGACAACGACGATGCCTCAGGTCAAAGGACTACTTACATTATTCCAACCATTAGAGTTACTTGCTTGACATGTGAGTAGACCTCCATGCAAGTACTCTCGTTCGATTGTGTTCAGTGAACTCATTCCCTTAATGAGCACCTACATACTTGTCTTAGTGTCACTACACAAATGGGATGAGACTTTCCATTCTTCCATTTGAAGTGGACACAGTATGTACCGGTCTAAGCATTGTCAGTGTCCCTCCGACAATCCAATGACCAGGAACCTTTTTGGACATAATGGTTATGTGAAGAAGGTCTCTGTAGTCTAACATCATTAGATTACTTCTTCAATCGATCCATTGTCCATGGATTCATTAATAAGGACATATATCGTTTATTGAGATAGTCCTAATTAGTATCTTTGCCATTTGATGTATAAGAGTCATCCATACATTGATTCATTTGTCCTGAAAGGTTTCTTCCAAAGATTGACTTTCAGGGCATATTTCCAACATAATTCTCTATTGCAGATACCATGTGTTTATTATCACTTATGAATAAACTCGTTGAGACGATGTTAGGCTATGCATGTTTTAACCACCAAATGGCCTTTGTGTGTTCCATTCATCTTTTTTGCATCCAAACACTTTTAACCTGATTCTTTCATCACCTTCACCAAACTCTACCCATCTTAGCCCATTACATCCATACCTTATAGTTTGGAGAATACCAAAGTGATGAAGACAAAGATAGATTGAGCTCTAGATCAAGAATGCGGCGTGTACCGATGTAACATGTGCTGGAATTGCAAAACAAGAAAAAAAATTAAAAAGTTTCAAACAAAAAAAAAAATAAAAAAAAAAAAAATGAATAAAGAAGATGCAATTTCCAAATCCTTCACTATCGCACGTAGGGGTGATAGGAGCATATTTATGCGACTTAGTTAGCTTGTTTTCTTGCATTTTCATAGCTAGTTTCTATTTATTATAGTGATTTAAGCTATTTTCGTGTGTTTGTAGGTCCAAATGACAAAGTTGTCAGGAAAGTGCAATTTGGAGCAGTTTTGGGACAAGAATGGATAGCATATGAATGGAGCAAGGTGGATGGACATTTTTGAAGTTCAAAGAGTCTAGGAATATGCTGAAGAGATAAAGAAAATGAATTCAAGATAAAGAAGATAAGGAATCAGCCAAAAAGAAGGAACATTATCCAAAACATTATCCAACCTTATCTTATCCAAACTAACCTTATCTTATCTTATCCCATATTATCCAAACATTATCCTATTTAATCCAACATTATCTAAACTTTTCTCCAGCTACAAAAGGAGTCCTTATCCTATTCTAAATCCTTCCCATCTGAATTTAGGAGTCTGAATCCATCTAAACACATTAATTCTTTTCCTCTCTGGAATCTGTTTGATGAGAAGTGTCCTCTTTCCTTGCTAATTTGGAGTCCTAATTCCCTTCCTTCTCAGCCTATGTTGTGCCTTCCCCTCTCGCTATAAATATATTATGCTACAGCACTCATAATTAACCATCTCGCACCACAAATTCGCACCATACATCCATCATACTCAGAAATCCCTATTGTGCCACAGCTTTGCAAGGGAGAACGGATAGGAGCCCCTTTGCCGTGCCTTGCCATTCAAGACCCTTGGATTGCTGGAGCATTCTTAGGTGCTTTCTATCTTTTATTTTCAATATTTAATTTAAGTTATCTTTGTTTAAGTGAGAACATGAGGAACTAAACTCGTTTTCGCTAGAGGAGAATTCAAAGCCATGAACATATATTGCATATGGATTGATTACTTCCAGTTATAATTTCATGAATCGTGAATGCAATTTGCTTAACTGTTTAATTCAGAACTTGTTCTTGTATGTTGATTAAGGATGCATACTTAGTTTGCATGCATGAATTTGATGCTAAAATATAAGGGAGTTTCACCTTATAGTTATGAACTTATATTTAATAGTAGTGGAGGTCACTGGTCATGATCGTGTTAAGTGAATTCCTGGCATGAGTATCATGCTGTTCATAGTTACGAATACCTTGTCAATGCTTATGATTTTCATAGAACTTAATGATCTTTGATATGTATCTCTATCATGTTGTTCGTGTAGGGAACTTGATAAGAATAATTTGGTTGCGACGCTGAGTCCAATTCAATGAACTTAGGAAAATCTAAGGGTTAATTAGTGTTATTTACGGTTAATCTGGGCCAGTGTCATTCATGGTTTATAGGAAGAATAACTGGAAATCGATTCGTATGCGTATGTGTCATGTGTGGAGAAGGACCCTCTAGCTAGCCATTCACCTCTTAAAAACGTCCAATTTCATATTATCTTTAGTTTGTGTCTGCAAGTATTTAGTTTAAGTTTTAAATTCCTCAAAAACCAACCCCCATTTTCTATTTCGTGTTTTTAGGTTAGAATATGTCCAATTGGTGTCTTTTTAATGTTTTGAGTCTTTTTAGTTCAAACTTCGTCCAAAGTCATCCTTAGTGTTAGTTTTGAGTCAATTTGTTTGTTTTGTGTAGTTTGGAGTAGTTTGAGTCATAAGAGTCTAGTTTAGTGTTTTTAAAGTCTAGTTAAGTGTAATTGAGTCTAATTTGAGTAGATTAGCAGTCCCTTCTAATCCCCGGCCTAGAATGATCCCTACTTATCCATACTACAATTATTAAAAAGAGGGTTTAATTTGTATGCTAGTTTAATTTCACATCAAGGGGTGCAAAAAATCCCGAAAATACCGAACTGAACCAAAAAAAATACTGATCCCAAACCAAAAATTTTCCAAACCAAAATTCCCGAACCAATCCCGAAATTTCGGTATGGGATTGGCTTCTCAATATTTCGGGAATCCCATACTAAACCGAAAATATATAATATTATATATATATATATATTTAAACATATATATTATATATATTATTATTTTATAATTGATGCTAGTAGTTTCTAATTCATGCTCTGCAACCTAGAATGCCCTACACCTTGCATATTTTTCATGTTCTGTTTGATATTCATTTGGATTTTATTATTGATGCTGCCATGGCTGATGATTTCAGAAGGCTTGATTCTTTTGTCTCTCAAGTCTCAACAGATTGCAAAAAG